CACATATATATATACATACATATATATATATATATATATATATATATATATATATATATATATATATATATATATATATATATATATATATATATATATATATATATATATATTGTAATAATAATTCGTAAATGTTCCTGATAACGAACCTGGGCCATAGAGTGGGACCCATCGTGGGCCCGGTGGTTGTAAACTGGAAACAAGGACTCCAGTTCGTGTCAAACACGCGGCGCGACCCGCACGTCTGGAGCACCAGAAAACCAAACCGAAAGAAATACTTTTCTCACCACAAACTAGCTACTCATGGCTATACCTTGAATTTGATTGGGAACAGGTCGAATGACGCGAGAGGTAGGCGAGACAACAGCAAGCGCTCTGGCCTCACGCAAGAGGACCCACGAGCGACCACGACAGTCGGATCCCTGAGGTGTGACGACGCGGACCGCCAACACATTCTCAGAACATCGGGTCCCATCCGCGATGTCGCCACGTCAACGGTCAATCGGTCGCTGTCAAATTCTCTCTTATTTTAACCTTTTTTTGTTGGTTTTCGTCTTTATTCGAAGCTATAATGCCACCTTCACATGCTTCGTGCCTTGGATCATTATATATAGTTTGTTCTATAATTGATGGGAATATATATGCCTTCGTCCCCGTTTGGAATGAATCGAAATGGACGTCTTCCTCGTCATTGGGTGAGAGGCAAGGCGCCCTCATGGCACCCGCCAGGAATCGGGGGAGATCCGCTGGGGTCTTGGATCATTCTCTGCGCAACGTTAAGGTATTGCTCTCGTCGCTCTCGATGTTCTTCTCCGCGCTAGAGGCCTTTCTAATTGTTCCAAAATGAAATCTTTTTGGGGGTTCTTGGCGATGTCCGGAGCTGAGTGGAGCCGGTGTGCTCCCCCATCATGCTAATTGAATAGTGTTCAGGTCATGTGGGTGGTTGTCTTCAGTTCCCTTTTCATCTTTTATTACTCTTTTTCCTTGTTTTAAATTGAAAGCAGTAGCATTTCATTCGTTAGTTCTGTTGCAAGGAATGTGGTGCGGATGTGGAGGATTAAGAAGGGCGGATCCGCAGCTGCACATTTACTCCTTTAACTTTTTCTTCCTCCTTTTCATTTCTTTTGTTTCGTTTGCTAGTAATGTAAAGCATGGAAGATAGGCCGGATAGTGGTGAACCAGGTTGGATTGGTGGAAAAAGGGTACAACATGATGTGGTAAAGGGCATGTGGCTTTTGGCTGCAGGGTGCTATGTTGAGAGAGTTCTTCGGGACATTATCTTCGGCAAAAATCCCTGCTTAGTAGCCAGAATCTTGGGTTGCATATGCCGTTGAAAGATCTGGGAATTTTGTCGTATAAGAGGCAATCGTTACTGTAATTAGGATAGCAAGATGGACTCATCGGTCGGGCGGCGGAAGAAGATAACCAAGCAGCTGACGGGAAAGCGAGAAGACACTCCCTTGCATTCTGCAGCCAGGGCAGGGAATTTAGCTGTGGTGAATGAGTTCCTTTCGGGAAACAATGAAGAGAATTTAAAGGAATTGTTGTGTAAGCAGAATCAGGCCGGAGAGACTGCTTTGTTTGTTGCTTCTGAGTATGGCTATATCGATTTAGTGCAAGAGATGATCAAGCATCATGATGTTGCAATGGCTGGAATAAAGGCTAAGAATGGTTATGATGCTCTACACATCGCAGCGAAGCAAGGTGATGAAGGTATTGGTTCTAACACAATTACTGTTTATGTTATGTGAAAATACCATTTGTAGATATGGTGAAACTATCTTTACAAGAAACCTTATATTGGATATATTCTAAAAATTTTAGAATTATGGCCTTTCATATTTAGTGTTCTTGCATTGCTTTCAAATGGCATCTGAATGTAATTAAGGATATTCAGTTTAGGCCATCCAGTGGTGGCAATTTTGGGAAATTGAATAGGAAGAGGGCACTTTGGCGTGGGACTTTCCCTTCTGGGATTTCTGTTTTGCTGCCCTCCGATGCTCAGGATGATTTTCGTAACTGCAATGTTCTGGTTTAATATAGCTCTTGCTCTTTTGTTTCGGAGAAGAAATGGCTTCTATGTTTATCCTAAAGAAAAATGTGCAGAACACAAAATCGCATGGATGCTTCAGTTAATTTCCACTTACATTTTATTCTTCTGATCATATAAACCTGTAAATTAGTGTTCGAAGAGGCAACAATAGTGCAGACATATTGAGGCTATTTTAGAAACATGGCTGCAGATGAGAAGGACTCATCTCTCCGAGCATTGCTAATATCTAAGCTCATTCTTTGACATTTGCTACTAAGTTTCCTATGAGTGACTTAATTTTATTTTGCAACTGACCATCTGTCTTTGCAAATATTCAATTATCTCTAGGTCAGTAATGTTTTAACTCATGACACTAAATAGTCTGTATAAATTTAAACTAACAATAAAGGATTATAGGAGCAGACACATAAGCTTTATTCAAAGCCAAGCTATTTCAATCATTAGTTAGTCAAAATGGGGTTATGATTGTGGTGTTCATTAGTTAAGATAAATAGTGCAATTGTGAGCTTTTACTAGATCCCTTTCATTATTCAAGTGGAAAACATCAATCACATGAACACCCATACATCCAGATGTCGCACAAGTGTAGTAAGTTGATATAGTATGATCGGCTAGTTATCTGATTGGGATGCCATGTTGGACCATACCCTATGAAGCTGAAGAATCTTGTCTTGAGTAAATCCTGAGCTTACACTGATATCTCTTTTTTAAAACTATCTCATTTGTCTTAATTCAATTGACCAGATGTTGTGAAGGAGCTGCTAAATGCTCTTCCAGAACTCTCTCTCACGGTGGACTTTTCAAACACCACCGCACTTCATACTGCTGCAACACAAGGCCGTATTGAGGTGGTGAATCTACTATTAGAAGCTGATAAGAGTCTTGCACTAATTGCAAAGAGCAATGGTAAGACTGCCCTTCATTCTGCTGCAAGAAATGGACACTTGGAAGTTGTCAAGGCTCTTCTAAGAAAAGAACCTGGAATTGCTACCAGAACTGATAAGAAAGGACAGACTGCACTTCATATGGCAGCCAAGGGCACAAGCCTAGAGTTAGTTGAGGAGCTTCTTGAACATGAACCCTATCTAATTAGCTCGGTTGACACGAAGGGCAACACCGCATTGCATATTGCGGCAAGGAAAGGCCGGGCTCAGGTATAACACTCCTAACTTGCTAATTCTTGCTATTGAAGTTTTTTTCTAAAATCTAATTGGATCTCTCCTATGAAGTTGAGGTAATTGAGGATATTTCTTCATTAGCAGGAGCTTAATCCTGGAACTTATTCTATAATTTAGAAGGCTGTTGAACCATAACACTAGATATTATGCCTGCTTGTCAAGACTCATCATCTTTTCACTGTACTATATACATTAAACCACAGAAAGGTATTTCTGAAGCAATTTAAGTCTCCAACTAGATCTGCCAAGACCAGTCTGGATGCCCTTGCCTAGCTGTTATGTCATGTGATTTGTGATACTCTGAAAAGATTAACATTTCACACTAGCTTACTTGCATATGTTGTATTTTTTTCCCTTGTACTTAACTTCTCCTCAGTTACTATCATATCTTGTTATCTTTACTCATTGATGCTAGCAGATTCCTTGATGCTAAAGAATGGTAAACCTTTCTTTTCAGAGGATCTTAGGTATTAATATGGAACCATAGAGTATCAATTTACATGAAATTATACAACGAGCAGCAATGAATCATATAGGGTTTTAAGGGTCTAGCTACTAACTATAAATGATAAACATTAGCATGATACAATTTTAGGAATCTGAAGGCAAGTCATCATATTCTTTTTTGAAGACTAGCTATCCTATAAAGATAACATGTTCTTTATCCCCTAAGACAAGCTAGTCTAAATGCGGAAGTCTTGGATGAAACAAATCCTAATCATTTTAACATATGGATCCTCTTCGAAAGTGATTAATTATGGATCAGCATTTACAAAATTTGCAATCTGAGTTCTTTGGATCAAGTTTTGCTACTAACGTAATAGTAAAGATGATAGATTATTTTGTTATTTTCAGATTCATCAATGCATGGCTGGAACAGAATTTCATTTCAAATATGAAATGAGCAGAGCCTTAAATTTAAGTTAGGCTTCTGCTTTTCTAATGACAAACAAGAGAGCAGAATTATAAATATATATGTCCGTCAAATAATATATAATTCATAACAGTATTAACATATTAAACAGATGACTAGGGGGAACTTATGGAGAAATTAGAACCAGCTTCCAGGAAAGAGTGAAAACAGGGATAAGATACTAGGTCCGTGAGGCCAAAAAAGCACCACAGAGCCCATCATATGATGTTCCACTTCTCAACATTTATCCAGTTCTCAACATTCATCCACTTCTCAACATTCATCTGCAGCCATCTTCTTAGACAAAGCTTGAGTTATCTATGGATGATCACCTGACAAACTGGGAAGAGCAAGAGTCGCTAGCCTCACAAAATCTCAAAGAACCCAAAAATAACCAGCCATCCACCTCTAGAATAAAGAAAATTGGATGATTCAAAGGCTCGTTTGTTTAGTATTCTTCTCCAAATACAATTAAATTAAACCTAGATGCAACCCCAATAAGATCCAAGAATTGCTTGATTACGCTAAACAAGAACCTGGTTGAATTGGCCTTGTGCCAGTGAGCTTGGACCCATGAAGTAACTAGCTACAATTCTTTGTTAGCATATCATGAATTCTGACGAGAGATTTGATCCTTTATTTTCTTGATGGTTATTTGTACACATAGATAAAGGAGGACTTTGATTTTCTTTTCTATACTGCCAATCTCCAGTGACAATTACTTCTTTAGCATGAGCTGAGACAAAGGAGCTTTCCTCCATGCAAATAGCATATCACTTGCTTCTGCTTTGCATTTGATTATAAGATTGGAAACTGAAGAATAGCACATTCCAAATACTCTGTTACATAGAATGTGACTCTGGAGACAGTCTTCCATTCAATTTCACTTGTGGTAATGTCCACTTGCAGATAATCAAGAGATTACTTGAGATCAAGGAGCTTGAGACCAAAGCCATCAACAAATCAGGCGAGACAGCACTTGACATTGCTGAGAAAATGGGGAATTCAGGTATCATCAGCATACTACTGGAGCACGGTGTTCAAAGTGCAAGGACTATTAGACCTCCTCAGAACCCTGCGCGCGAGCTAAAGCAGACAGTGAGTGACATAAAACATGAGGTTCACTCCCAGCTCGAACATGCCCGCCAGACCAGAAGGCATGTCCAGGGGATTGTGAAAAGGATCAACAAGCTCCATGAAGAGGGCCTCACCAATGCAATCAACTCCAACACTGTCGTCGCCGTCCTCATTGCAAGTGTAGCATTTGCAGCCATCTTCACAGTTCCTGGTGAATATGTAGAGTTCGATAACCTCGCCCCTGGACTCACACTAGGAGAAGCCAATGTGGCACATCAGACACCATTCATGATCTTCTTTGTCTTCGACTCGGTAGCACTCTTCATATCCTTGGCTGTTGTCGTGGTACAGACTTCGGTGGTCGTGATCGAGAGCAAGGCCAAGAAGCAGATGATGGCCATCATCAACAAATTAATGTGGATAGCCTGTGTGCTCATCAGCATCGCATTCCTCGCCCTCTGTTTCATCGTTGTGGGGCGCAAGGGGAGGTGGCTGGCGATAGGAGTGACCATCATTGGGGCGGTGATACTAGCAACAACATTCGGCACAATGATCTACTGGGTGATTGTCCATCGGATCGAAGCCAAAAAACTAAGAAGCATCCAGCGATCATCGTTCAGTCGATCACGGTCATGGTCGGTGTCTGGGGTGTCAGACAGTGAATTGTTCAATGGAGAATATAAAATGTATGCAATTTGACACTAACAAGGTATCTCTTTGGCACCGGCACCACAAACCAGCCATGTAATCCTTGGAAAGTGTTCTTCCTTGGCCCAAAATACTTGCTAGGAGTTGATGGGCAAATGCTCCTGCCAGTACCTTATTCTATTCATCTGGTGACAATTGAAATCTATGAGTTTAGGCCAACAAATGAGCAATTTCTAGTTTTGAGCCCCATAGCAATCAGACCAACCAGGAATCACATCGAAACAAGGAGGAAGGTTTGTGTCCAGTCTCTGTACGATGCAGACATAATCAATGCTTTGCCTCTTAATGTGTGTTGTGAGAATTACAGACACCTTGATATGAGACCAGGCACATCAGAGAAATCCGAAATTTGCTTCGCAATAATCTGAACAGTTGGATTGAGAACCCTTTCCAGATAAGCTCGACGATGATCAAACTCTCCATTTTCATAAAGATGACTCGGTTGTGCCCTCTATTTTGAGCTTCAAGTCCTCAAAATCATAATCCAATGTATTCACGAGAATGATAAATTCTCAACTCAGTTTCGATGATGACATATATTGTAAATTGAGAGTTTCTCATTGATCCAAAACAAAAATAACGAATCCATCTTTTTTTTCTTGGAAGAGTTATCGTCACTCCACCATTTCTTGTACATAAAAATGCCATGAAGTGATGGACTCATTTGTACGAGACTCTGCTATTGTGAACACCTCGATGTCCCTATCTGAATTCGTTGAATACTGTTCTATCATTTGTTCAATAATGTGTGAAGATTGGTATGCAAAATCTGTAAAATTAAAAACCACATATGAGATAGTTGTGATCCATCCATACAACAGGACTACAACGACGCCTAAATCTCTACACCTACTATCTGAAGAGGAGAATAGAAGGTGGCAACCAAAAATCCTCTAGTTTATGGGTATTTGGTTCCCTCCTATTTATATAGGCCTCTTGTCAACTTAATCCTAATGGATCCTAGCTTATTGGGTATTAGATATCCATCCAACTACTCAAGCCTCTTAGATTAGTAGATCTCTATCTAATAATTCCTCGTTGGCTCTTATTGGATCTTATCCATGGGATCCAATAATTCAGGGGCTTATTGAATATCCAATAAGATAGGGGCTCCGACGGATATCTCACATCTGAACCTCTACTCGTCACAATGTCTACCATATGCGTGACCCTTTAAGCCCAATATCGAGCTGGCCGTGAGTTTTACCTGTCAGAATTCCTTCTGGCTTAGTGAATTATTAATAATTCACTCGACTCATCGACTGCGAACGTACTAGGTCACTATGTCGTAACCTCAGACGATACAGGGAAATCCAATTCTTTGGACCTATCTGTCCTCAGTTACCATATACCTATAGTCCCTCATCCATCTAATATCATAGAGATCGTATACTGGGCATGATAGTGTTAAACCCATACAGTTTCTACTCGAGTCTCACTCTAATCGGATTCTCCCACATTCCGTGAGCGGATCAATCAATGAACTTATTCTCTAAAGAGCACATGTACTGTAGTCCTAGTGTCCTCACACGAGCAACTATGAGACCAGTTACCTCCATCATATGGATGGATATATAGCACATTAGTCTGTCTGATTATCTCGATGTTCCTCTCGAGTAACCTATGATCAATATTATTTAGGGCTTTGTGTTTAAAGATGAATCAATTTCATTATATATATATATATATATATATATATATATATATATATCAAATAAATATAATAAATAAAAAGAATATCACATATGTCATTGATTTGCTTCTAGGACATAAATGACTAGCAAACTTTGAACAGTAATTAATCAATTTTCACACACCTTTGAATTGGTGCATATTGACTGTTTTGAATATTGAAATCCAGCTACGGTTGTAATTTTTCTTTTTCTCTTTTTTTTTTCTGAACTTGAAAATATTATTCTCTCTCTCTGTGTGTGACGCCTTAAAGAATTATCAATAAGGATAAACAATATGATAAGATGGCTGTGTGTAGTTTTTTTTTCCAACATCGTTCCACCAATTATGACCAAAAACATATCTTCTGATAAAATGCTTCAAATATTTATTCCAACTCATGTTCTTGATAATCACTGATTCACCATGGCCACCATGTTTCTAGGGTTTGTAGGAGTTGCAGAACTAGCCCTGGTTGGCGATGAAGTTGACATGATGAGAAAGGTCATGATCAGAAATCAGAAAGACTTAATTTAAAATGGTAGCGCAAGGTCAATGTCAAAATCCATCATTCTTTTAGGTGGCAACCTCATCAATTCAAAGACAAGAATCGGTCAGTCATTGTTCACAGGTGCTCATAGGTGACTTTGTCGTGGTCTTCCATGGTTAGCCAATCCCAAATGCAAAGAACCAAAAGCTACATACACTTTATTGAAAGGTTGAAAGCAACCAAACAATATATTACTAGAACATTTCTAAAAATTATTATTATTTTATATACAGCTGAAAAAGGATTTTTCTTACTATTCGACGGTTCCAAATCGAACAGATAGTTTAGTTTTGATTTTTTATTTTTTATTTAAATAAAGCTGATGATTTTGGTTTTGATTAGATATAATATATATATATATATATAAATTTATGATATAGTGGTTAAATTCTTACGTTTAAAATCAATTTGAATTTTGATTAAATATTTTATAACTTTATTATAATATCAACTTTTTTAAAAATATTACACTCATTATAGATAGTTATACATTTTTTTTCTAATTTTTAAAAATTAAAAATTAAAAAATATTTTAAATTATAAATAATAAAAAAATAATGTCCTTTTCTTTCACATTGATAGTGAGAGACTCGTAACAACCACGAGCAACCATTTCTCTTCCAATTCTGCACTTTCTGTTCAATTACAATTTAATTGATTTTTATCAGCTGGCACAGTCTTCTCTCTCTCCTCACTTTTACTTGCGGCAAGTTACAGTTTCAGAGCATTGACTCACCCCTCTCTCTCTCTCTCTCTCTCTCTCTCTGCCATTTCCATGAACTTCCCCTATAAACACCTATCTCCTCCCCCTGCACCCTCTCTCTCTCTTTGAAAGACTTCTGAGGCCTTGATCAAGCGAGAGGAGGGACCTTGTTCGCCTCCTGTGGAGTTACGATCGGTTGCTGAGGTACTTTTGTTGCAGATCTCCCGGTTTTCCTGAGCACCAAAGGTGCCACCTTCTCCTCTCTTTTCCCGTGAGATCGCCCCCTCTATTGTGCTTCTTTGAGTTCGATTCCAATTGCTTGTGGTCGTCGAGTTGTGAAGATTCTGCCGTTCGGGTTGTTTCCCCTATTGTGCTTGTTTGTGGTGAAAACCTCAGGGTTCTCCTGGTGGGCTTGTCGTTTCCGGCGTCATTTTCAGGTAGATCGTGGCCCGAGATTGGATTTTTGTTACTTCTTGTTGATGTTCCTCCAGTGAATCGTGGTGGGTTCTAATATTTAAATTCCCAGGAGAAATGGGGCGGCGTTTGAAGTGAGATTGATGAGCGTGAATTAGGGTTTTTCTGGTTCCGAGCTCAGATTTCTCGTTTGTTCTTTGAATCGGGTTGTCTTGTTAGGTAAGAAGAAGTTCTTTCTCTCCGGTGCCCGGTTCGATTGTATACCTGTCTTCCTTTGGTGTTCCCAAAAGTAGTGCCAACAGATCTATCTTCAGCTGTGTTCCGTGATGGCCATTCGCAAAATCGGAGTGAGTTTCATCGTCTTGGTGATCGTTTCGATTCGATGCGGCCATTCTGCATTTACTCCAGCTGATAGCTATCTGATTGACTGTGGTTCTTTGACCAATACCACCATTGGCGACAGAGTTTTCGTGGCTGATGTATCCCTTTCGTCGACCTTGACACCCGCCTCAAACAACTTGGCCAACACCTCATCGAGCTCGGTCCCTTCCTCCTACGGCACGGCCCTCTTCCAGAACGCTCGGGTGTTCACCGTGCCCTCGTCCTACTCTTTCCAAATCAAGGCGCCAGGCAGGCACTTCGTCCGCCTGTATTTCTTCCCGTTCGTGTATGGAAGTTACGACCTCACTGCTGCAAACTTCAGTGTGTCAACCCAAGACGTTGTCCTTCTCCGAGACTTCCAGCCTCAGGCAAAGTCCGCCATTGTTAAGGAATTCTCGTTGACCATAACTCTCGACACCCTCATCCTTACTTTTGTACCATCGGGAAGCACTTCCCTCGCCTTTGTAAGTGCTATCGAAGTTGTATCGGTTCCCGATGAGCTGATCGTAGATACTGCAAAGATTGTTAATCCTCAGGGCAAGTACCAGGGTTTGTCAGGACAGTTATTGGAGACAGTTTATCGGATCAACATGGGCGGGCCGAAAGTTCTCCCAAATGATGATACTCTGTGGAGAACTTGGGACACTGACCAGGAATTTCTGCTTGACAGTCAGCTTTCCCGATCGGTTAACTTCAGTGGAAACATCAATCATATGCCAGGGGGAGCCACTGAGGAGACTGCCCCTGATATTGTGTATTCTACGGCAACGGAATTGGCTGCCTCCTCAAATACTTCTAATGCCCGCTTTAATGTGACATGGCAGTTCAATGTGGATGCAAACTCGGATTACTTGATAAGGGTTCATTTGTGTGATATAGTCAGTAAGGCGGCTGGTGACCTCTTGTTTGATGTTTATATTAATACTTGGCTTGCAGCTGGTGATCTTGATCTTTCTTCTATGACATTACAGAGTTTGGCTACACCTGTTTTTATCGATTATGTTTTAGAGGCTGATCATGCATCTGACAGGCTTAGTGTCAGCATTGGTCCTTCAACCTTACTTGATGTTTTGCCAAATGGCATTATGAACGGCCTCGAAATCATGAAGATTAATGGCTCTGCGGGTTCTGCAACTGTTATCACACCACTGGGTTCAAAGAAAAACTTTGTCATCATATTGGTCCCAATCGTTGGGGCAATTGTGGTTGCCGTTGTTGCTATAATTCTTTGCTTGGTCCTCAGGAAAAGGAAGCTTGCCAAACAATATTCTAAAACCTGGGTGCCTTTCTCCATTAATGGATTGACGTCACATAGCACGGGAAGTCGAACTTCCAATGGAACTGCATTTACGATTGGGCAGAATGGAAACCTCAGTTATCGTTTACCTTTCGTTGTGCTGCAAGAAGCGACTAACAACTTTGATGAAAATTGGGTGATTGGGGTAGGAGGTTTTGGGAAGGTCTACAAAGGAGTGCTGAGAGATGAAACAAAAGTAGCGGTGAAGAGGGGTAACCCAAAATCTCAACAAGGCCTTAATGAGTTCCATACTGAAATCGAATTGTTGTCACGGCTGCGCCACCGCCATCTAGTTTCTCTTATCGGCTACTGTGATGAGAAGAACGAGATGATTCTTGTTTACGAATACATGGAAAAGGGCACTCTAAAGAGCCATCTTTATGGTTCAAACCTTCCTTCTCTTGGTTGGAAACAGAGATTGGAAATTTGTATTGGATCAGCCAGAGGACTGCACTATCTTCATACTGGTCAGGCAAAGGCTGTCATCCACCGTGATGTCAAATCTGCAAATATTCTACTCAATGAGAATCTCTTGGCGAAGGTTGCCGACTTTGGGCTCTCAAAAACAGGGCCTGAGTTGGATCAGACTCATGTCAGTACTGCAGTAAAAGGGAGCTTCGGATATCTTGATCCCGAGTATTTCCGGAGACAACAGTTGACAGAGAAGTCGGACGTGTACTCGTTTGGGGTCGTTTTGCTTGAAGTGCTGTGTGCAAGACCAGTCATTGATCCAACACTACCAAGAGAGATGGTGAACTTAGCGGAGTGGGGAATGAAGTGGCAAAAGAGGGGAGAATTGGAGCAGATTGTTGATTCTCGGATTGCAGAATCGATTAGGCCTGACTCACTGAGGAAGTTTGGGGAAACGATCGAGAAATGCCTAGCAGATTCCGGTGTCGAGCGCCCCTCGATGGGGGACGTCCTTTGGAACTTGGAGTATGTGCTGCAGCTTCAGGAAGCGGATTCCTCCAGCATGTCCGAGGTCGACAGCATCAATCGCATCACTGAAATCTCACCGCTGGTTCAAAACATCAGCACATCTGACACTACACCTGTGAGGGAAGTCGGGACATCAGTGCTTAATGATCTTTCAGACGTCTCCATGAGTAAAGTTTTCTCGCAGTTGATCAAGTCGGAGGGGAGGTAAGTTTTACTAATATGCTATGATACTGCTTAAATTGTAGACCTACGAGTGTTGCGTGTTTAGTACGTTTTTGCAGTGCTTAATCCGAGGGGACCTGTCTTGCATCCTTGGTTTTTTCTTCTTTCTCCCTTATTTTTCTTGATGTTATATTCGCATAACAAACCATATGCCAATGTAATTACAATCTAGCTTTGTTGTATGAACTGCTCAGCATCTTCTGTGTGAGACTTCTGCAAGGATGACAATGGAGCTGTATTATATCCTTATATGAATCATGTTTGATGTGCAAGTATTTTTAAGCATTTAGCATTTTGCATGTCTTTTCGATCCTATTTACCTACTTGAAATAATGATGTGTTGAGTCTTGAATTAGGAACCTGAAAACTGATCGATCTTGGTGTTTCAATAAGAGTCAGGAATCGAGGAAGAAGACATCACTGTGTATAAAGACCAGACTCGTTTTCTTGTTCACCTCTATAGAACTTTCGGAGAAGAAAGCACAGAGACACACACTAATGCTGAAGAAAACCATTATTAAGCTTAAGAAACAGGAAAAAGAGAGGAGTGTGAATTCTGTGGTAATTTGCACCCTCGACGCACCACCTCGACTCTTGCAGTGCAAGAAAGGAGGCGATGGAAGATGAAACAGAGCGTGGAGTAGGAGACCTCTCTTAGCTTCCTTACTGTCACACAAGCCTTCTTCTTCCTTTCCGTCTTCATCCTTCTGTTTGGAATGTTCTTATTATTAGCATCACCATTGACGCCACCTGCGGTGCCTTGGTTCTTGCGTTGGCGGAAAGGAAACACGGCGGCCGTCTCCCTGACTCTTCCGAGGCACCGTTGTGTCTTCTCAGGAACACTCTCCCTCCGAGAGAAAGTGTAACTTCTCAGGTACATCTGCCGGCACGAGTAGCTGTCCACGGCCGTCGGTGCGGCGCTCCACTTCCTCCCTCCCTCGAGGTTGCTGCCGCCACTGCGACCGTCGACTTTCCCCCTTCTTCTCGTCACCGACTTCACGAATTCGGCGTCGGATTCTGGCCACTTGTAGAGGTTCACGTAGGTTGCTCTCACCGGCACACGTGCGTCCACGAAGCCCAGAGAAGACTTGCACCGGGAGCTCATGGCTCACCCTCCCACCACCTCCTCCTCCTCCTCCTCCTCGATGTTTTGGTCCAATCTACCTGGGGAGCTTAAAAGGAAGAGCGACGGGGGGGATGTGGCCAGGCTTCATTTGCAAGTAAAGGTAGGAAAGTGCAAGTGGGACGATGAGAGATTGGATACAGAGATCCACAAATTGTCTGTATGGTATGTAGCTCACAGCGCATTTCGCTTTGCTCAAGTGTTGGGGAAGGAATGGTGTGGCATCATGAGCCATAAGTGAGTTGGGTCCTTCTTCTTCTTCTTCTTATTCTTCTTCTTCTTCTTCTTCTTGTTGGCATAACCATACCTTGAGACGCCACAAATCTGGTGGTAGGGTTAGTAGCTTCCCATCCAATTGATGACGAAGAAGATAAAGACTTGGGCAACCCTCAGTGCCACAGCAGAGAACATTGATTGGTCATCATAGTCACCGCTCAGAGACAATGGCCACTTCTCCAACGGTCCAGTAAATACTCAATGAGAGCCTTGTCTCTGTTCAAGACGAACCGAAGAGTAATGTCCAAAGCACAAAGATGTTGTTGGTCCTCATACACATCTATAGATGAAAGAAACAGAGTGTGCCTTGTTTGGTCGCTCATCTAAACCTTAACCACCAGTCTTTCTCTATCCCTGTTAGCATTTACTCGGACACTTGGTCACAATTTGCAACCGCTTGTGATGATATGATCATGAATGCAGCGACCTGCCCTATTCAATCTTCATCTATTTTGCGTTCTGCAGATGGCAGAGTGCAGCTAAACACCCTCACCTACTTCAGAGAGAGAGAGAGAGAGATGGATGTCAAAAAGAGCCTGCAGGGCACCATCACCCTGAACGACGAGAAGCTGGAGGGTCGGCTCCTCAAGGCCGCCTATGATGCAGGAAGACCTCCTTTACCCCAATATTCACAGTGGAAGAGACTTTGATGTTCTCTTCCCCATGCTCACGATGGAAGAGACTTTGATGTTCTCTCAAGTTCCAACTGTTGCGATCGCTATCCGCCTCGAAGACCTCGAAGAAGGTTGGAACTCGCGATCGCTATCCGCCTCAAAGAAGAAGAGTCAAGTGCAAGCACTCATCGACCAACTTGACTTCCGATCTACCACAAATACCAAGTGACAAGATCCACCATGACATCTCAAGTGGAGAGCACCATCAAGTGTCGATCGACATCGATCCACATCATCTAAAACCATTTCTCATCCTCTCCTTTTTAATTTTTAATTCATCCCATTTCATTATTTATCTTTTTTTATTATTTTACATCACATCACGACGATTTAGAGAATGAAAGAAAAAAAAAAAAAAAAAAACAACAACAACAACAACCATGTGGCAAAGACCAAACACACTACTAATGCAAAAACAGGTATCTCTACAGAGTCCACATGCTAAAATACACAACTCATCTCCTTCAAAAGATCACAAAAAGTTTTACCAAATCATAGACATAGAACCCCAAAAACCACATCAGCAACAGCATGTCGAAGAACAGAAATGCAGGTTTGAAATTTTTTGCTGAGCTTCTGAAATGTTCGATGAAGAGTATTGAAATCACCACCAAAGTACAGATTCCGAAGGCCTAAACTATGGATGAAGAAAAACCATATATGTCAAAACAAAAACTAAGATCATAGCAGCAGCAACAACAGCTGAGAACTATTACCTTACAATCCGTTGGCCACTGCAGATCATAAATATTGAATCCTGATGCAACTCTGACCAAATATCCAACTAAAAGCAGGTAAGCTTGCCTTCTTGATTTGTCCATGCCTACCCCCATCGTCAACATGATTACTGCCACTTGCATCTAAATCTCGTTCTTGCAGTTCTGAATGCTCAAAGACACGACGGCATCTCCAATGTTCACTTTCTAATCCTCGCTACTTTTTGCAATTGCACTATAGGTGGTTTGATGAACTTGGACTTCATCTCTGAACCCTTCATTCCAAGGTGATATGCTTTATTGTACCCTAGAAGGTTTAGTAAATCTCTTACTGATGATTCATGCAAATCTATCATCTCCACTATACTTCCATCAAAAGTTTGTAGCACTATGACCACTGCATTTTAGCATTTCCATATTCTCTTATTCATGCTCACATGAATCCTTGTGAACATTTCCATATTCTCTTTTTCTTCAGCTCACATGAATCCTTGTGAATGTTGCGGCACAGGATGCTGAAGTTTACTATCACCATCAGCAGACAAACGCATGCCCCTTTAACACTTCCAACACTTACGGTACACTCTTTATGTGAGGATCCATACAACGATGATCATCTCCAGCAACCAATTCAGATGAAGTATAATATACTCACCATCTGAGCAGTCCATTTCGGTGCAATCTTGATATGAGACCATCACAAGCCATGGGCTCTCTAACATCAGAAACCACACATTCATCATGCAGCTTAGAAGCCATGTGAACAATTTGATGAATTTTGGTCTCCACCATTGCATCCTTCTGCAACAGCAATGACATATCCATGACAAAATTTATTAATCTACCAGTACTCCCTTCTAATGTCAGAGATCACATCCTCAGCTTTACAAGATATACTAGGAACTGATACTGTGGCTGGAGCCAAGGCTCCTTGAGTGCTTTCACCTGAACTTATTGTCGCATTACCAGCCATGACTGGACTATCATCACAAAGCATATTCACATCATGTGCAGCATTAAAATCCAAAACCACTGGTTTAAGCTTTACCTGAGGGCAACTCCATGCAAGTGGGGACATCAACTGGTGATAGTCCAATGCCATAACTGGTGACTTCCTTTTGAATTCTTTTGGTGGCTCTGATTTCACCAATTTGCCTGACAGTAATTTCTGATCAAAGGGATCAGCTACCCTGAAAGCTTCACCCTTAGAACTTCCATTACATGTTTCAGATTTCATGCGCCTAATACCTACCAACTTTAGACTACTACATCGATAAGTTTCTATTTCCTTCTGACTGCTGTTGGCATATGGTTCAGGTTTCACAACATGCATACAAAAGATTCCTTGCCAGGTATCAGGAAGGGCCATCTTCCTCCAGTTAATGTGCAACTCTAAGCCGCCTGTATCCCTATTGTCTTCAGCAGGCATTCCCAAATAGGTTGTATTGACTGTTCAGTAAATAAATCATTTGAATCGGTGTCCACACTTTAATGGGAAGGTTCAAGTCCCAATTTTCGCTGTTCAGCATGGATAGCAGAACTATACTTTGAAGCCAAGTTACTGTGTGGAGTCTGATGCAGACATTGGAGCCCCATGTAGCCAGTGGCGGATTTTCAATCACATCCTTCTTGTGCAGATACTCTTCAGAATCTCGGCTCATCAGCGGAATGCCTCGGCAGCAGAATCAATTCTTCAGTCTCCTGCCATTGGAACACAGATAAGTGACAACCAATCCAATAAGAACCTCCTGATATGATGAATTTTGTAGGTTGTAAGAATGATTTGCTTACAAGAAACTCTGATATGATGCACTAGGGTGTACCAAGCTTCCCGGCAGAATCCTGGTCCATCTAGATTAAGAAGAATGAAGATTTAACAGATGAAGATTCAGCAAAATGAGATCAAAACCAAAATAATCAGCAAATGCTATAACTTAAACAATTACCTTTTCCCAGTTGGATACAAACATCACTAGATGAGTATAAACAGCATCAAACCGCAACAATTTTTCCTAGCAGCATAACCAGGGTACAGAGTCAGATCAACTGTTGGGGAACATCCAGCTGATCCCTCGAGTTTCCTCGTAGATCACACCACCGATATTATTCACATCGGTATAGAAAACACTTTGAAAAAGAAATAACAATGCATCAGGTGCCAAAATGGAGTCTCAATTTCATTTTTCTATTACGATAGATCCTATATAACAGCAACATAAAATGAGCTTCATTGACATTTTTCTTTTACATCATAAACAACCAGCTTTCAAAGTTGAACAATATCCATAAGGGCAGTCAACCCATTTCCTTTATAGAGATACTTGAATCAACTGTGTACCAATAATGGAACAAGCACAATTAATCGCTTGATGCAAATAATCTAAACAAGCATCTCTAAATGCAATCAGCAGCAAACACCAAATACCCGTAACAAAAATCAAGTGGAAACACCAAGAAACCAAAAACCCAATGAATGCACCATCAAACCAAAAGTGTACTTAATCAGACAACATACTCTCACCACACTCAACAATATCAATAACAAGAGCATCCACTCTCAATGGTCATCATATGAAACCCAACCATAAATCAGTAGCCCACTGATACAACTTACTTCCAGCTCAAATTTATGCAAGTTATTTTTCACCAAGAAAAAAAGACATTACAAACAAGACAACATGTTTTCACCGGTTAGACACAATTGCAACAATAGATCACTAATACACAAAAGAAGACTAGCACACCACACATTCAGGAGGAATCAATCAAAGTACACATTCCCATCTCTACAAGTAAACAAGTCAGTTCTAATACTCAAAGCCCTAAGCATTCAAGTCAAGTAGAAGCAACCTTGCAATTGAACTAAGCATCCTAAGATCTTAACATCTACCCCAATAAACTAGAAACTCGTCATTCAAATCACCAAATATATACAAATATAAATCAACATCAAAGTAACAGCCAGAAGATACATGAGCTAAGGAACAAACAATGCATACATCCTAATTGACAAAGTCATTAGTTCTGATTAACATGACTGAGAGAATCTAATAAGATATCATCAAAGCTTGCATCAACATACACTCAACAAAATGAAAGCTGCATCAATTAAATGACCTGAAAACAAATTAGCAATGGACGTTCACCAAACACAATGAGATATTAATTTCATAAACTTGCGGACGAGTCGCACATCAGTACCTACACACAGAGCTTCCAGCAACAACAGCTTAAATTACCGAAGGACAGATGACCAAAGAAAACCCTAGATGAGCAATTCTAACATCAGAAGCCCCATAAATGGATGCTGATACCCTAGCCACATAGTCTCGAATTCAATCTACATTGTTTCAGTTTTTTGGATTTCTTGACAGCAAGACTTTAATCAAACGTGAAGCCCTAACCACCAAAACCATAGAGAGTCCTTCCCTGCCTCTTCAGGGCATACACGACGTCCATCGCGGTGACAGTCTTCCGACGGGCGTGCTCAGTGTAGGTCACAGCATCGCGGATCACATTCTCGAGGAAGATCTTAAGGACGCCACGAGTCTCCTCGTAGATAAGGCCGCTGATACGCTTCACACCGCCCCTCCTCGCCAAGCGCCGGATCGCGGGCTTGGTAATGCCCTGGATGTTGTCCCGGAGAACCTTGCGGTGGCGCTTGGCCCCGCCCTTGCCCAAGCCCTTGCCGCCCTTTCCTCGCCCCGACATCGCCGCCGACCGAAGCTAGATCTACAAATTTCTGTAGCAATTCAAGGCGTCATCAGTTCAAATCACAAAGATTCCAACGAAATTTTAGAAACAACGACCGACGGAAAGCGACGCGAAGGGGGGAAACAGAATAAAGGTCTTCCTCATACCTCAGATTGCGGGAATCGGAAAGCTCGAAGCGATGAAGACGAACGGCGGTTCGAGGGTTATATATATAGTGGAAGAGGGAGAACGTGGGCGCGAGCTCGAGGTAGAATCGACCGTTGGAAGGGATGGCATGGACGGTTCAGATTGAGATAACTAATAGACACGGATCACTAAGGTGGCAGATGATGGGAAACAGTAGTTTATGGCGGAAAGAAAGTTTTAAATTTCAATAAATAAATAAAATAAAATAGTTTTTGGTTTCATGAAAGCACAAAGAATAAACATGTGTTCTTTACTTAATGGGTATATAATATATATATATATATAATTATTTTATTTGAGTATTAAATTTTTAGTTAAGATGAGACTTAATATAATTTTATATTAATTATCAGTGACGTAATCCTTATTTAAGAATATTTTCTTTTCAAATTCTTATTTGAGATTTATTTTTTGACATCCGATTTTGGTTCGATATCGACGGATTGCACTGAAATCCATAAATGAAAATTGGATCGGATCGGATAGGACGCTAATATTGGGTGACCATCGAGAGTTCACCCAAAAGGAGAAGGGAGGAATAAGAATGATGTGAAGAAGAAAAATAAATGACTGTTGAATAAGATTGTAATGTGCTAATGACCAAAACTTTGCAACAAGCTTGTATCATTTACAAACACTATATGCCATTTTTTTACACATATAAAAAAAAATTAGGGTCCAAAATGTCTTCACATGTCATTGTCATATTATATAACCTAGACCCAGTTCATCTTCAATATCATCCCCCTCTTCAAAGAGTTTTAGAAATCGTGCCTGGTCTTGCTCCCTCTTTCTCTTTTGCCAATATTTATACAAGGCTACTATACCAGCAACCATTACAAAAGAAGCAGCAAATACGCATATAATTATGACTGTAACCATTTTCCCTCTCCTGCCAGAAGCCTCGTCCTTTGATTCGAGAGTCTCATCAACACCTATGAGTACAAGAATTTTATATCAGCAGTTGTTGTTGTCTGACCGGTTAATCCATCTACTAAGCTCCCAAGATCCAACTTAATGTGGCCAAAATTACTGCTCCACAAAAGGGAAATGCAAAAGTAGACGAATGGAATGAAGAAAATAAAGGAAGACTAAATTATTATTTATCATCAATGCAAAGAGTAGAACCTATGATAAGATATAAAACAACCAAGAAGATAGAGCACTCACCATCGGAAGCAGTGCACCGAGGGCATATGAACGTGGCGTTGAATTCTTTGTTCTTTTTACGAACATATTTTCCATCCACAAAATTACCAGCACAAAGCTCCCACTCATCAAAGACATCATCAGCTTTAAAAGTGTCTTGTTCATAGAAACCGCATCTTTTACATTTTTTCTCCGGAAGTTGTGTCAGAGGCTGTGAATTACAGGAGAATGGATTATCATCAGTTGCCTCGAGATAGATTGGCCTTGTTTACTAACTCTTATGCACTGAATCATTCGTATGGTCATTCATCATACTACGGAATTAAAATGTTTCAGAGAAAACAACTACATCAACGACACAGTGAATTATGTAATAGGATGGGGAGCCCATCAGCAAATTATCATGGAAACGAGGCACCTAAGAGTTATAGGATGAGGAAGACAACAATACAAAGAAAGCAAAACTACAGTTGTAACAGTGGCAAGAAATCTGAGGACTAGAAGCAAACTTCCATATGCACCAAATTACATGTCCATAAAAATAAAATAGTGACGAGGAGGCAGCTGTTAGTTCTTAGGAACACAACAGAGAAACGGGTGTGCTCCACGATGATCTCTGAAGAATCTTAAACAGAAGTTATAGGAAGAACAGCTTCATATTTTGTGAAGATAAAAATGCCCTAGTTTGCGCTTGAAAGAATTCCACATAGTTGTTTTTCTTCTTATTTAGTTTTTAAATGAAACATGGGGAATATTATCCCATTTTCTTGCAAAAGATCTCATGTAGTTTGCGCAAGGCAACTTAATTGCATATTGCTCCAGCATCTTAAAGCCCATAAGAGAAGGCTTTGCAAACAGCAAACCTTTTCTTGTAAGATAGAATCAACTTAGATATGTATACACATTGGATACGTATAAGAATTAGATACATGAGGGATATAGCAGATATATATGTGAATAATACATGAATCTTATACATCACATAAAAGTAATTACACACTAAGTCAAATATATCAATAATAATCCTTGAATGCAAAAACTTTAAAACAAGGGTGGGGAGAAAATGAAGAATGGGAAAAAGAAATAATATGATTAACGTTTTCCTAAAAAAACTCAATCAAGTAACAAATTTCCTTATATTAAGGGGTAAATCGAACACTTCGAGAAATCCTTGGAAATATGGATGTGGAATGAACCCTTAGTTAAATATATACCCAAACGAAAGGAAAATAGGATAAAAATATTAATATGCATGACATACATTTATGTAACAATATCTAGCTTGGTTGCTCATTTTGGTTCAAAAAATGTAACCAAACAGACACTATCCAACCCACTTTCACCATTATACCAATAAAATCTTAAAGCCGATTTGAATTGATTATCTTTGTGTTTTAAGATTATTTTTATATTTCATTGACAGAACATTAAAAAAATTCATCATTTTGAACCAATAACTAAATGACATAATGTCAAAATGGAAAATAAAGCAGGAAAAGGATGATAACACAATATTCAATCTACAACAAACCTGCCAAGATTCTTCACCACGGAAAGTGTATAAAATATCTTTTTCCTTTACATCAGGCAAGACAGTCTTGTTTTCTCCTTGACAATGAAAATAAACGATTGGTTTCATAGGTAGCCATTCATGAGTAGCGAATATCACAATTGAACCTAGGGAAACTATCCTTGATGAAAGAATGCCTGGCAAAATAAAATAAAATACGCTTAGCTTGGGAACAGAAGCCAAATAAAAGATTTCACAACTTCAAATGTTAAAATGTATAATCAATCAAGAATTTACTATGACAAGAATTTGACATGAGAAGAAAACAGAATGTATCCATGACAGCTTTTTTCATAAGGCACTCGAGAAAACCAACAATAACAAAGAATTATGCAACTACTATGAGGCAATATAAGGCAAAGACTAAGAGACTTCTTTGATCATATGAGGCAAGTACATGTCATTTGTTTATAATGAAACCTAATTGTAATGAAGTGGCCTGATGTCCAAACCTGAAATGGATTTAGGAAAGAATTGATCAAGGAAGCATCAAGTAGTACTTTTAAAAAATAACTGGCACATCCAAATTTTATGTTTGTATTGAGCATAGAATAACTATCTGTCAATGAATGATAATTAGAACCTTTGTCAAAACATGTAGAAAATAATGGGTGTATCCCTTGCATAGGAATTCCCAACTTACAAGTAATCATTTTTCCAAGTGCTCTAACAATTAGAAAACCAATAACAGGCAAGTTTTTGCTAAAAATCTTCTGAAGCTGCTCAGAGAAAGACAGTTCTTATAATTCTTTAAATTCATCAAAACAGACACCAATCTAACTGGGTCTTACTACAAAACTACAACATCAAGCTTCTCTGTGCCATTAGATGCAAATTATAATACCTAAATTATTTAGACTTCGTTCCATATTGACTCTAAAGCATGACTCTTTAAATTTCATTGAGATTTATTTCTTTATACAACCAATGTAACTTGGTCCTACAAGACAAATGGGACAAGTTTACCGATATAAGTTGGTCATTATCTCTCTGTTGCATCTGATCTCTTCTGTTTCTTCCTTCTCAAAACCAGATATCTCTTCTCTGTTAAACTTCATAGATTCATTTAATCATTTAAACATGTTCTATTCTGAATTTCAGCTCTATTTTTCTGAGATTAATATAGATCAATGAATGTCCTTAATCAAAATAGTTTGAGGTGGACTACCAAAGGATCTCCCTTCCGATTTATAAGTATCAAAAGTCAAAATTGCTCTTTTCATTCATTTCCCAAAAGTTCTTTGTAATGTCCAATATTCCTTCATATTGCATAAGTTCCTTCTATATGTTTTGTCGGGTATTTATGTCTCTCCAATTTAAATTAACTACAAAAGGTCCTTGGAGACATATTTGTAGTGTCATAAAGACATTTTCATTATACAGTAGCACATGGTTGGCTCTATTTATTATGTCTCCAACTGCATCATGAGCAAGGATTCTTGTTTTGTGTATACGATTCATAAATTATAAGCTGACATGGTCTGACATGCCTCTCTATCCCATTGTGATAGTTTATGCCTGTGAAATCCATAAATTAATTAGATAATAATAGTAATCATCGACCGCTCCTTGTACAGCACCACAGACAAAGGGCCTGTTTTCTATTCAACACAAATAACAGTTACTTCAAAATGGCCTACTGTGAAAATACTCATAGGAACTGCTCTTCTCCCTCCGCCATAAGCCAATTAACGGTCACAAGAAGCCAAGTAGGAGAGCATCGTATTTATTTCATGCAGATTAACCTCTCATATCGCAATTTATGTCTCCTTTATTATCCCCCTCTAAGTTGAAAGACCAGCAGGAAGACAACATATCCTAATCTACATGCATAGAAAATGAAAGAACAAGACACAACATGGAATTCCTCCCTTTATATAGTACAGCACCAAACTCGAATCTTCTCCAATGTCTTCATCTATAGTCACTTTCAACTGGTTCTGTTCCTGATCCAACTTCCTAATTCCCTTCTCCTTCAGTCTCCGGTGCACGAAACCCTAGCCTAACTTCATCCACCCTAATTTATGCAGCACAAGAACCATCCACTTCAATCTCCAAATTTCCTTTCCCTTCATACGTCCAACAGAATCACAAAAGCATCAACACCCTGATGTAGGACAAGCAGCAATGGATTTGTTTCTTGATAATAGAGGAACATAAAAGAGAGGAATCGAAAATGATAATTGAAAGATAATAAGAAAACAAATGGACGACTATCGGATTCGCTTTCGCTCAAGAAACAAACTCCCAAGATGAAGGCCTTGCATCTCCCCACCTCTCGCACATGGACAATGGAATTATTCCATCAGAAAACAAATGTAGCTTTGCACCACTCACAGACAAGGTGGGAAAGAACTCAATTCATTGATTCATGTTTTTCATTGATCCATTACAATGTTATAGCTCCTTTTATAGGTTCAAGTACAAAGAAAAAAAAAGAATTACAGAAATAGGAAAAAATACAATCATATCAATCAAATATGCAATCTATTCCTTCACTCGAAGAAGATAATATTCTTACTTTGATTTGAGAGATAACCTTCCTTCCTTGATAATATTATTGATTGATAGACTTCCATCTTTGTAAAGATATGAATATTTAAGATCTCCAATCAAGATTTGTAATCTTCAATCAAAAATGAGTTTGGCTTCTTCCACTTTTCTTGTATTGGTTTCCTTTTTCTTCGCCTTGAGTAGATATTGCCATGTGACAACTTATGACAAATGCAAAATATCTCAAAACTAATAAAATTTATTCAAATAACATATAAACCAAATTGCTACTGCATCACTCCCACTTCTAATTTCAGCTCAAACAAAAAGTATTGAGGAATTGCTCAGTGACTAATTTCATTAAAGTAAACAAAATCTAGGAGATGAAGATCTTATCGAAATTGATTTGTGAAAGATAAATCGAGAAAAAAAAATAAAACAAATCTAGGTTTCAAACAAAAGAGAAGGAACAACTATTTTCCTTTACCAGGAATCGAGAAGAGCAAGACACAACCGATCAGGAGAAGGCAAGGAATTGAGGTCGAGCAACGCCTTGACCCTCGAGGCCTCCGCATAACAATCAAAGCGAAGTGGATCAAGAACGACGAAGGAGAGGGATCTGGAGGAGGCAAAAAGGATGCAGCAATGGCGATAAGGAGCGGAGGGGAAACCAAGTTTATTTCCTTTCCTCCCTTGTTTTCTCATGTCTTATTAATGGGATTGTTTTGCTTTCTTTAAAAGTCATAAGGTGATTAGACAAGTAGATCCCCTCTCACCGTACATATATATCTACCCAAATCTTGACTACTTTACTTAATGATGTTGGTTCTAATCATATGCTACTTCCTTTTAAATTTAAAAATCATGTTAGTATTTCTCACCTTATGTACATGATTTGCTTTAGGGCCAATAGGAAATCCTGTCAAAGTATTGAACATTTTTTGCACTTATGAGGCTCTTATAAATCAAAAGATTAATATCAATAAGTTTTTCTTTTTCCTCGCAACACTAAGGCGGAGAAAAGACATGAGATTTATTTGTTCTTTAATGTTGAGGGAAAATTCCTCTTTAAATATTTTGATACCATGATTAGCCCGCGTAGGATTCTGATGTCATTTGATGATATGACTCATAACCTCCAAAGGAAACTAGGTAATTGGAATGGATCCAATTTATCCCAAGCGGGTAGAATCACCCTCATTAATTCGGTACCTAATGCCACACCTGCACATGCCCTGAATGTTACTTGGTTACCTATCGGGTTATGGACCATAAGGAAAAAACAATTACAGATTTCCTTTGGCAAAAATGTGATAGATCCAAGGGTCAGCATCTTATTTCCTAGGATTCTATTACTTAACCCAAACGTGAGGAGGGGCTTGGCATCCATGATCTCCATGCCACTAGTATTGCTTTACAGGTCAAAAGGATTGCTTTGTGCTTGAATTAACAAAACAATATGTACATTGAAATTGTTACTGCTAAGTATGGACAATTATGTCCTTGGAAACAACCTTGCACTGTGAAAGTTAGCTGAAGCTGTAGGCTGCTCCTTGAGGCTTTGCATCATCTGCATTTTGGTTTCTCACATATCACTGGGGATGGTGTTTCTACTGAGTTTTAGTGTGATTGCTGGTGTTTTGAAGTTCTGATTCCTATGAAACCTATGTTTCTGTTTCTTAATATGAATGTTGATCTGAATAATTTATATGTTTTGACCATGTTTTATAATGGTCAATGGAATCATAACTATCTTATAGATTTGTTTGGCCCAATTGGGAGTGGCCCGATTGCAAGATTGATATTTCCCTTGGTCCACTTGATGACATACATATTTGGAAAGGTGACCTCAAAGGGGAACCATCAACCAAACTGGCTTATAGGTTTTCGAAGGATTCTGGATGTCATAGTGGTTCTTGGTGTGACATTTGGTCCCGTATGTGGAAGTTGCCTGTTATTCCTAGGGTGTAGGTTTTTTATTGGAAGCTTCTTCATAAGAGGCTTCTAGCAGTCCCACTGCTAGATTGGCTAAGCTTAACATCTGTTCAATACATGCTTGTTTCCTGCGTGGGAGGGATTCTGATCAGCCGAATCAATTTTCTTTTGAATGTCCTCTTTCTTCTAAAGTGTGGGAAGGGCTGCAGCAGAGGTTGAATGTTACTTTTCAATCCTTTCCTCTTTGGAAGGATGGTGAATGGATTAGGGAAGGGACTTATATTGCTCACCTTGACTATCGCATACGTATATCCCTCATACCCTATTGTCTTTTGTTTATCTAGAAGACCAGAAATGAGGTTGCCTTCAATCATGTTAAGGGTCACCCTTACACTATTTTGCTTAGAGCATCAGCCTATGTCATGCTGTAAATACCCAGAATTGTCTGATGGAAAAAGGGGGGGGAATCATATCCTTGTAGCCTAGGCCAAACCCAACGATGCGTGGATTAAACTAAACACTGATGGATATGTAACATGCAGGAGAAGGGTGGGGTTGCCCTCCTTCAAACGTCTACATCTTGGCTAGGTGTGAATTCCTCCCCGACGCCTGCTGTTGGTGTGCTGAGCTGCTGGCGATCAAACATAGTCTACAGCATACAAAAATCTGGAAGGAAGCTGAATCATCATTAAAATCCTCAACAATGTGGCTAGGCCTCCCCAGCACCTTATTAACTGTGTTAGAAGTATTTTACCTCCGGCACAGGGTTTTCAGGGATGTTCTTTTTGTCATTTTTTCGGGGAAGAGAAGAACTTGAGTGCTAACTGGTTAGCACATTTTGGTAGGACAACGAGACCCTCTTGTATATGAAAAGACTAGCAGCCTATGGAGCTTAGTCATTCTGGTAGGACAACGAGTAGCATAGTATGCCTTGTATCAGAGTTTTAAAGTGATATATCTTTTTTTTTCCTTTGATAAAAGCAAAAAAGAAAAAAAGAGAGAAGGATCGGAGGGGGAGAGCATCATATTTATTTCATGCAGATTAACCACTCGGATTGCAATTTATTTCGGTTTTATTTTCCCCCTCCTAGTTGAGAAACCAGCAGGAAGACTTCAGATCCTACTCTACATGCATAGAAAATGAATGAACAAGCCACAACCCTAGCCTATCTTCATCCATGAGATCATCCGACTTCCTAATTCCTTTCTCCTTCAGTCTCCTGTGCACGGAACCCTAGCCTATCCTCATCCACTCTAATTTATGCACCATAAGAACCAGCCGCATCAATCTCCAAATTTCCTTCCCCTTCATACAGCCAACAGAATCACAAAAGCATCAACTCCCTCTTTTAGTTTCAGCTCAAACAAAAGGTATTGAGGAATTGCTTAGCCACTAATTTCATTAAAGTAAACAAAATCTAGGAGACGACGATCTTATCGAAATTGATTTGCGAAAGCTTATGAATCGAGAGGAAAAAGTGAATCAAAATCTAGGTTCCAAACAAAAAATAAGAAACAGCCGTTTAACTTTACCAGGAATCGAGTAGAGCAAGACGCAACCGAACAGGAGAAGGCGAGGAATCGAGGCCGACCAACGCATCGAGCCTCGAAGCCTCCGCATAGCGATCGGAGCGAAGCGGATCGAAAACGGCGGAGGAGAGGGATACGGGGGAGGCGGAGGGGACACGGCAGTGGCGGTGAGAAGGAGCGGAGGGGGAGGAGGACTCCTTCGAGGCGTCAATGCCTTTCCTGCCCGCGGACTGCGGACCCTCTCATTCTTCTCTTGCCTATGGCGGATCCTGTCGGGTCCACGCGGGACCCACCATCAGGAGAGTTCCAGATATCCACCAAATAAACCGGTCGAAAACGAATCCGCCCCGTGATCAAAACGGCCAGATCGCGAACCGGACCGGTGAAGTCGCGCTAACTCCGTCCCGCCTCCGCACACTGCGCCTGGATCAACTCACGTATATCCCTCGGGCGGGATCAAACGGGACGCGAATCTCGATGCACGACACATGCAGTGGTGGACGATGGAAGAAGCAAATCCAAACGGGACGCGAATCTTGACGCACGAAACGTGCAGTTGTGGACGATGGTAGTAGTAAACCCAAACGGGACGCGAATCTCGACAATGGTAGTAGCAAATCCAATGGCTCCTACGAGGCGTACCAACGAGTCCTTTTGGAAGCTTGAAAGACCTTAAAGACTTCCCAAACATGCCATGAACTGCCTCAGCTTTCTGATGCAGTACTGAGAAATCCAGTGCCATTAAAGGCACTCCTTAATCCCAAAAAGTTCATGTCTACGTCACAGCTTGGCTTAAAGATCACCCTTCTCTTTCTTTCGCCATGTCTCACTGACTTATTAGCAACCAGTAATGGCTTCAAAATCTAGCTATAATGCATTCAACAGGCAAAGAGAAGGATCGGAAAAGGAAACAGTGCCATGAAGAAGGAAGGACGTACTGAGCTACACAAGTGGTTTCGTTTCTTTAGGAACTACATGACAGTCTCAGTATGCAGCAACAGAATGTAAAGCAGTCCTACTTAGGAGGCGAGAGATGCAGAGAGGAGTGCGCCATTTAGTTGGTTGTTGAAGAGCATGAGGACTTGGAGGTGGTACTGCACTCATCCTTGAGGCCGGTGCTCTTGGTTGGGAAGAGATCGAGAGTCCTGAGAGGCCTACAGCATGAAGGCACCGCCCAGGCTGCATCCACCATCGCCATCGATTCATGCCTGAGGGTTGCATCGCTCGTTGACGATGCTTCTTCGGCGTCGCCGGCCTCCATCTTGCAGACCGAGTTTGCATCCTGGAATGATCACAAAATGGTAGCAGCACTGATAGTCTTACGATGGAATCGAGGGGGATGAGTTAGAAACCTGATGAAGGAAGGGAGACGGAGTCGCATGGTGGAATGGGAGAGGGAAGACAGGAGCTTCCTGGGAGCAGTAGAACTGATGATGAGGGAGTGAGTTGGCCGAGTAGAGAAGCTGGTAGTGGCTACAAAGCCTCCTCCGGAGCTTCTGCCTCTCTCTAGCCTTGTGGTTTTGGAACCAGTAGAACACATTCTTGCCCTCTATCCTCCCGTAGTAGGAGAGACGGGCTGTAATTTGCTGTATCTGGGAAGCATTTGGGGTCCTCACCCCGCTCCTGTACATCTCCTCCAGTATCATCAGCTGCTCTGGCGTAGGACACCACCTCGTAGAAGGCACTTGAGGCATCTCTTTCTCTTCTACCTTTGTCTCTTGCCGGGTGTCGGTATCTGCTCTGGGTTTGGAGCTATATATAAAGAGGACGAATCATGTGAGAGAGAGACAAAAGAGGTCCGGCTATCTACGCAAGGTTAGGGGATTGGCAAAGAGGACGAGAAGGAAGTACCGTCATGCTGATGCCCGGTTCTCATGACAGGCATTCGTTCACTGGGAATTCACTTGTTTTAGAGAGAGAGAGATGTCGGTCTATCACATCCCGTCTGTGGAGGAGTCATCGAAGAGAGGGAATGACACGCAGCTTCGCACACGCCTTTTCTGTCTACCAAGTCAATAAATTATAAGGTGATGATGGCACCCAACAAGTGCTCTTTCCAGTTTGCAGACACCGTAAGCATTCATGGCATGAACGTATAACGAAGGAATCTGATACGAAGGAGAGAGACAGAGAGAGATCCTCTCGTCGGCATCTGATACGAAGTAGCTTCGTCGCTGCGTGTGTAGTCACGCATCACAGACAGGCTGAAGGTTTTAATGGGCGAGACAGTTATGGCTTGGTTCTGTTCGAAGGCTCCAAGAACTCACAGCGAAAATCATGATTCATTTAGAAAATCTCCTCTTATGAAAATATCAAATAGAATTGTAGAAGATCGATTAATGAGAATTTTTGATTCATAATAAAATCTCATGTATCGAATGTCGAGTAATCAAAATGATAATTTATATAAAAAATATAACAAGTTATATTCAAAAGAAAAATTATCATTCATTTTCAATTCATTCAATTTATCAAATCAATATTTCTTAGATATGCATGATACTAAAACATGGTTTCAAATGTTTGACATATAACATGCATAAATTCAAAAATTAAAAGAAGAGAGAATAATTCAGAGGTACAAAGATTTCAACCATCTCATGTTTTGATAGTGATATTTATAATTTTAAATAATTATATATATAATAAATTAATTTAATTCAATTGAATCGATCGAATTAATATTTTTTATAAAAATAAAATAAAATAAAATAATTTAGTTTAATTTGATTAATTAAATTAATAAAAAATATTATAAATAAAACTTATTTATAACTTTCAAAATTAAAGAACCGTCACATCATGCGATACTATGGTGTTTTTGCTGTCGATCAGATCAGCTTCTTCCCAAGCTGTTCGCTGCCGCGCTTCCAATCGCTCGCCTTTACCGATAACATTCCAAGCGATCACTCACCGTCTTCCGTAACACACAGTGCCACTAATGGAGTAAGCACAAAAGACAACAATCTGCGCGGGAGAGCACCGACGCAACGCAACGCCGCCTCGAAGTCCGAAACGCCTGCCAACTCTGAAGGCTTTTAAGTGACAAGATGCTGGTATCAGCGACTGTCTTCAGAACATTTCTCCATGGAGAAGAGAAGCTCAGAGTGCTGCCTCTGTGGATGGATGGCTTTGCGTTGACTACTGTATCCGTAAGGTGCTGTGCCAAGAGTAGGGACTCGGGGACCATGGAGGAGCTCCACTCCTTGCACGTCTGCAACAAGCCATGGCAGCCGATGCGGCGTGGCAGGAGCTGAACCGACGCCATGTCTCGTCCTCACCGGATTCACTCGAACAAAAGTCAACTTGGATCCTTACCTAGAAAGAGGGCTACAACAGCATCAGAGGAAGTTAAGGCCGACATGACCTGTCTCCCATCCACCGTCTCTCAAATCACCTCATTCTCCTCTCCCTCACGCCATCTCTCTCTCTCTCTCGCTCTCAACCAGATTCGTTGCATGCACCAATGCACCGAAACCGGCATTGTTTCATGTGACGAGACGTTTGTTTCAGGGACATGGAGGGAAGGAGACGTGGAGGATCTGCTGGGCGAGCAAGCGATAGACGTGGGTTGTAGGAGCCACAGGGAAAGGAAGGGATGGGAACTAAATGCTCTCCTGTGCTGCTTGAGTTTGTTTACGGCAGAGCTGTGTCAGAGCCCCATTGCCATCTTATATCAACATTCTCTCGGAAGCTCGCTGTGACAAACAAGTAGAATGCTGCTTGGAATTAATGTAAGCGATGAAGCTGTTCAACTTGCGCTGTGTGATGCGCCTGAGTGATGGCCACTGTAATGGAAATTATACGGTGGATTTATGACGAAGAGAGAAAATAAAACAGCCAAAAGGAACAACGTTGATGATAATTTCTCATCGATAGAAACAACTCGGTTGCAAAAGACAAATCTATGTGGATTACAACTAAACTGAGGAGAAAGAACATCATCCTGATCTTTGCCAGGGATATGACTAATATCCCTGAAATGATTGACACAACGCATCTTATGAGATAGATAAAGTGCATGTACATAGTAATGAAATAGAACCAGCACAGCTTGGGTAGTGGAACCCTTTAATTGGAAAAAGAATGAATCGTGATAGGTTTTCTTTACCCTGTACATGCCATCATCATCAGCTGGGAGCTACCTACCGAGCTTGGCCTTAATTGATGGCAGTCAGTGGCACCCTTGAATCTCTCGAGGACTGTAACTGGGTCTCATATGACCCAGAGAAATGTTTTACATCACCATTTGCCTGCTTCACCACATCCCCAAACGACTTCAATAGCTCTTCGAAAGCTGGGGTCCGTAGTTCTTCGATGGATGCAACACTCGGAAGATTGATTGGTCGTCTCTTTGGGGTGGAACAGGATGGTACATCCACCTGGTCAATTTGCCAAATAGTCAGCTGAGGAACATGAAGTTGAAACAAATCTTTCGATTTATAGATATATTTAATCAATGTATTCTTACCACATATTCTTCTTCAAGACATTTCCCCGTATTGTCTGTAATCTCCACGATTTTGTGGTAGTGACCACTCTTCAGTTCCCTTAGTTCCCCGTGGCATGGAATGAGCAAGCAGTCAAAGTTTTCACATGCATCTTGGTCAAGTTTCAGTGAACCTGGAAAAGTTGGATGATATAAATGATTTTAGATGCTAGGACGTACATATATTATGAATGGTAGGCAACAACCACAGTAACATCTTACAGTCGATGGAGGATAAAAGATTCTTATTTGAAATGACAACATCTTCAAGTGTCGATGAAACAGCAGAAGATAATTTAGAACGCAGAAGCTGGTTGGCATCCAATCCACCCCTACACAAGTTTATGAATACATTAAAAGTCATATAACAATTTGAATTTTCAGTTACTATAATTCACTGATAAGATCATAAAATCATCTGCTTCAATCACCTGATAATTGAATCTACTGATGCTACATTTCCTTTGCCGAGAGTCAGCAGGGAGTTTTGAGCATCTCTCCATTGTAGTGTACCTGTGCGAACCTTTGCCTTGCTGCCAATTATTAACAAAAGTTTAATTACGGAATTAGGCTAAATGCAGTAAAAAAAAGAACACAGTTTAATGTGAAATAGAAATTTCTATGGCAATTAGTTATATCCATTAAGACTTACCAATTTCGTACACCTTCTTCTAGGCCATGTTTACCAGTTTCAACTGCTGCAGTATCCTCGACAAAGTGATTTTCA